TGAGTATATTATAATATCAGTAAGATATCCTTTGATGTGATTTTGACTTAGTTAGGGGCATGTACCTATGAAAGTCTTAGTTGCTCTGTTGAACTATTTTGGAACTGGTTTGTAATAGCTAAACTAAATCGTTTTATGTTATTTCAATATGGATAGAATGAATCAGTATTATTATTATTATAAATAGATGTATTTGATTTTGATATATATATATATCATGTTATAGTTTTATATGATTTAATATTTTTATATTATTAGTTGCAATTTGAAGAAAATAAATTTTTAAATCACTTTTGAGTTGGCCAATATTTTAAGAAATTCATGTGACATCTATAACCTGTATTTGTATAAGTATACAGGTCGTAGGTGTTACAATTCCATTCTTTTAGGCCATTAGGGACATTTTAGTCATTATGCTACTAAGGAAATTCTTAATAAAATTAACTCAGTAAGGGTAAAATAGAAATTCCCAGTATGTCAAATTCTCCTAATTTTGAGTCAAATTAAGTTGAACAGACCTCAACATTGTGATACTTGTCAATCGTTCAAACCAATATATTTTCAAGAATATTCACTCTATAATACTCACTGTCCTTGTTGGGCTGAACACAACCAAAATCTCCATTGAAAATATCATGAAGAGAATAACAAATATTTCGATGAATTTTTTATTTTTGTAATGCATGCATATCTAGAATGACTGACGTGCTTGGATTATGCTTCATAACCTTTAGTGTGGTACATCACTTAGGTTTATCGGTGTTCCAGAGTTCATCCAATGACATTCATTTATTACTCTTCCAAAAAGGTGTTTATGTCATTTCAGTTGTCGAGGTTACTTTAGTCATTTAGGGGCTCGAGGGTATTTTGGATAATAAAAGGTCCAACAACATAATGGTCATTTTAGAACTCAAAGATTATCTAGTCATTTTAAATACTTCAATGGCGTTTCAATAATCTAGTCTTCAAATGATCCTTCCGAATACGAAAGAACAACGTATTTTGCAATCTCATAGGTAGAAATTGATTTTCGAGGTTTTTTAAATAAACCGAGAATTCAATCGGTTATTCCATTGTTCAAAATGATCAAAGTATAAGGCCTCATGGTCATTTTTACTATCACATTCATCTTTAGTTCCTTTTACACTTTAAGGGTATTTTTTCATTTTATTCAATTCTGTCACTTACATTACTTTTCAAAAATTAGTCTCTAGGCGGTTATTCAAGAATCATAATTCTAAATCTTTTACCATTTCAGAGGTTAAATTGGATATCAGAAGTTTTATGAGCAAACCAAGCATTTAGCAGGTGCATCAGCAATTTAATTTGGATCATGTATGTCTTTTCGGGTTTATTTTCCACTTCCAGGGACTATCCTGGTCTTTGAACAACATAAGGGCATTTTTTTAATTTTACTTAATATGGGTATTCCATAATTTCCAATCCAAATATTCCTAGTATCTGACCTTTAAACTAAATAATTAGAATTTAAAGACCCTAAGGTCGATTTACTAATTAATCAATGAACTTGAAATTATTTTTCTATCGGTCATCCAACACTTTATGTGAATTATTAGAGTTTTATTTGGTTTACTAACTTTATACCGCATTCAGTTCATGTATAACAATAATTTATTACACATAACCGACCAATCAATTACATCCATGCATTATCAATTAGTTTCATAAAGCATACAAAAGGTAGTAGAGTATTACCTCAATTTTAAGCCGCAACGATCAACCAATTAAACTCCATTCAATCATTCTCGCACTTAGATTCGATGTCCCATGATATCTTGAATACATGGAAAAACAATTTGCATCAGAAACGGAATTTAAATACTAAAATTCGTTTAGAATTGAGAGATAAAACATTGAAAAATAGCTTATCGAGTTTGAATTTGATGAAATGAACTTTGAATTCGGACTCAAGACGTCAAAAAACATAAAGTATGCCTTTTGAAAAAATTTAACCTTTTGGTCAAAGTCAACTTTAGTCAGGTCAACGGGCATTCAAAGTTAACGAGTCATACTAGTTTGAGTTGACTCAATGCGAGTTAACTCACTTGGCTAATTCAGTGAGTTAACTTAGGGTGTCGGTTCAAGTTTCAAACCGGTTCGGTGTAAATAGGTCGATTCATCCTGATCGAGTTCATCCAGACTGGCTCTGGAAATTTCAAATAGTGGGTAAGCACCACGCGCGACAATAGCGTGTAGCAGTGCGAGCGACAACGATGGGGACGGTTGTAGACGATTGATTACTCCATGGCATCTCACTCGCTGATTTCAACCCAAATCAGACCAAAATATAACCAACAAAATAAGAAATAATGTAGACAAAATAAACGAAAGCTCACCCCTAACGACGAGCGACCGAGGCTGCAACAATAAAGGGTAAACCCAATTGGGATTTGTTATCATAAACTCGGGGATCTTTATGGAGGATACGGCAAAGCGAATAGATATTGAAATCGACCAAAATCACGGCAAATAGCAACAGCAGCTTTATGTGTTTTTATTAAACATTCGATCATTGTTTTACGACGAACGACGGGAGCTTTCAGCAAGTGGGACGTTGGGCTATCACCAGACGAGGGAGATGTTTCCAAGGGTAAGGGGGTGACGGTCACCGGTGAGTCCAAGTCCAGATCGACGATGGGTTCTTCGAGTGTTCCTTCTTCATTTTGTGACGAACAATGATCGATCTGTGTGTATAATGGTTGGGACTCAGGTCACAGGATGGTGGCGATGCAGCTGGAAGTGGCGTTGTACTCGCTGGTCGGATGTGGTTGAACAACGAAGGGATGGTAGTTTAGGTCGAGCTTTATGGGAAGCTTATTTTTTTTATTTGATCAGGGAAGGTTTCACAGGGGGTTGATTCAAAAAAATATATTATGGGTTGAAAGTAAATAGAGTTTGGCTTAAAAAATATTTCACCGTTGTCCAAAAATTATAGAAGCCTAGCCAAGTGGAACAAGCAAGGCACACCTTGGTGTGGGTCACGGGTTCGGCACCTAACATCCACATATTATTTAATCACCTTTTTATTAACATAACATGTTGCACTAAAGATAATGGCAAAATGGAGATTGAGTTCCTATGTTGTCTAGAATTTTCCAAATTACCCCAAATTTCCATAATTTAACAAATAAATCCCCATAAAATATTTAATTATTTTAAATTCAAAATTGGGGTGTGACAAAGAACATGTTGAATTTTAAAGAATTAAAGGATGATCTTTATGTTATTAGTGTTGTAGATTAATTTTCAAGCATGGCTGGTGATTGAAATCATTTAGAAATGCATTAAATTTAGCCTATAACACCCTTAATCCGTAAACGTGTATTAATATAGGTTAAAGGTGTCACATCAAATATTCAAAACATTTCATAACCCAAAATGGGTAAAATTTTTATGTAGAATAAATTCTGCTTAGGCTCAAAAGTGAATCTCTAAGGGTCTTATTAGCAAGGTTGACTTTTTGACTTGTGGCTAATCCCCAAGTTTTTTTATCATCTCAATTCATTCGATCATACTATATGCTCTCGACGTGTATAAAAAATAAAGTTTAGAAGAATTTAAATCAAATAATTTCTTAATAATAATACTAAATAAATTTTTAACAATGTTAACATGGGTCCAAATAACAATTCATGTTATTTCATGCTTATAGAATGCTTAAATTTTTTATCTAGATATTAAGTAAGTTTTTTTAATTAAGCTAATGTGATTATAAAGTAGTATTTATTCTAAATACTCTCAACAATTTGATAATGAATCTTATCTAGATATTAAGTAAGTTTTTTTAATTAAGCTAATGTGATTATAAAGTAGTATTTATTCTAAATACTCTCAACAATTTGATAATGAATGGTCAATCACCCTTCTGCAGTCGCTTGTGCTCGAACCCGTGACCTTTAGAAACAATAACAGTTCTTTTAACCAATAAAGTAAGTTGATTCGTGCTAAATATTAAGAAGTTAAATCATCAGTACACCTAAATATTTTTTTTATATAATATATAAATTACTCGAACATTTTTCACTTGTAAATTAAAGACTATTAAACACTTGAACATATTCGATCTTGTATCATCTTTTATGTTGTACAATAATGATGTGAATCAAATTAAACTCGATCATAAAAATATATTTGTAAAAATTTCTTGCATTCAAAGGAATTGTCTGGTACGAGAAAAACCATGTTACATGGCTTAACAGGGTTACAGAGAATCACATTTAACCGAGTTCATTTAACACTCAATATATAACTTAAAGCAAAACTTTTAATTCTTCAGATCCCAGAAACTAAAATTTCAGAACAACATTTGATCATCCTAGTTAATTAAATTATGCTCTCTTTTTTCTTGAGAAACTTTTAGGGTTCTTGAAAATCTTCTATAGGTTCACTACAGCAAAATTGTTCTGTAGCGGCGCTTTTAGCGGCGTTTGGAAAGTAAACGCCGCAAAATTTAAACATATAGCGGCGTTTACAATCCAAACGCCACAAAATGATACTTTAGCGGCGTTTCTTAAACAAACGCCGCTATAGAGTAGTACTATAGCGGCATTTTTATATAAACGCTGCAATAGGTACATATGTAATGACGTTTTTCAACAAACGCCACAACAGAGTAGTACTTTAGCGGCGTTTTTATACAAACTCTGCAATAGGTCCATCTATAGTGGCATTTTTTTCTGACAAACGCCGCAAAAGATTTGTACTTTAGCGGCGATTTTATAAAAATGCCACAATAGAGTTCTCCTATAGTGGCTTTTTTTCTAATAAACGCTGCAACATATTAGAACTTTAGCGGCGTTTTTACACAAACGTCGCAAAAAAATATGTACTTTAGCGGCGTTTTTAAACGCCGCTATAAAATGATAAAAGGTGGCATTTGTGTCAACAAACGCCGCAATATTTGATAATTTTAATTGTTCAAATCCCTTTCCCATTTTCCATCTGTTCCCACGATCCCCTTTTCCTATCAAATTAGAATCCTTTCTCAAGACTCGTTTTGTTTGTCCGCCGCTGCAAATGGGCAGCACGGAAGAAGAAACCACAAGCACATCCAAACCCATCCCTCTATACGACGCCGCTTTACCAACCGAACCTCTCCTCTTCAAACCCACCACCAGCTCCACCTACTCATCTCCTCCAATCGAAGAACCACCTCAACCCGACCCTTCCGAATCCGACCCAACCCAGTTCATCCATATCTCTTTCAATTACGGACCCAGACCTTTCAAAGACCTCCCTTTTCTCTTCCTCTTCCTTCTCTCGGTACTCTGCACTTTTTCTTTCGGTATTTTCTCAATCTTCCATCGAAACGACAGCTACTCCAACGTTTCGACCTTCACCTACGATTCCAATTCCACTTCTTGCGTTCAGGGCACTTCTTTTTCATCAAAATCAGTATGGGTTTTTGAAAGTTCTGTTTTTTTGTTGTCAAGTTCGAGTCTTTGGACATATGTAGCATGGACCTTTGTCATAACTTTAGTTCTAAGTGTACCCATTTGTTTCCTTTTGCTTTTGTTACTCAAACACTACACCAAGCAGATAGTTTATGTTTTGCTTCCTTTCTTTGTAATTGTGCCGACTTTCTTTGATGTTTATTGGTTCGTTGCTTGTACCTTGAGCTCTTCTTGTAGCGACACTTTCCCTTTGGTCTATAGAATTTTGGTGCTTGTTTTTGTTTTACTTGGAGTTGGGGTTATTGTTTGGATCGTCGCGGCTAATTGGCATCGAATCGAGTGGACCGTGAGGATTATCGGGGTTGCTTCTGATTCGCTTTCAAGGAACTTAGGATTGTTCTTGGTGATACCGTTGTTGACCGCTGGATTGTTAGTTTATTATGCCCCAATTGTTGTGTTCTTGGTGTTTTCAACGTTTAATGGGAAAATTGTAGCTAAAGAATCGAATGGGGAGTATACTTGTGTTTGGAAACAAGATAGCTGGGTGCCGGCTTATTTTACATTGGCGATATTGACAATGTTGTGGTCCTTGAAAACAATGGTGGAAGCTCAAGTTTATGTTATCAGTGGCACAATTGCTCAATGGTACTTCTCGAAGGATGAAGAGAAACCTCACCGTAGTATAAGACGATCTTTGAGGTAACATCCTACTGTTTTCAGCTTTTTCATGATCTATGATTTTTAATGTATTAATATAGACGGTTTGAAATATATATTGTGTTTTTGATAGGATGCAGCATGCTTACATCATGAGTACCAGATTGTGTTGATTAGTTATCAAAGATAATAGTGATCCTATGGGATTATAGGTTGGTAACATTGATTTTAGTATGTTTTTGGCTGCATGATGGATTCAAGTATAGTGTTTGTTCTTGAGTATGGAAGATCGCTGTAGTGGCCATTCGCTTTGGTTTGGATTTATGGATTCAATTTGACATTGTTTTTTATTTGCTTGAATGGACTGAAGAATGCATTAATGATCTGGTGCCTAACAACTCTTCTAGAGTATGTTCCTCTCAGGTGGTGTTTCTCTGGTGCCATGAAAAGGGGGCTACTTCTCTAGTTTATTTGCTCAAGTTGCCATGTTGAATACAACATGTTAATTTCTTTTCTAGAAATATTGAATTCTTTTGGGTCCTTTTTGATTGAGATTAGGTAGTCTTTTAGCTTCGTGTCCACTAGGCATAACACTATTCTTAGTGTCGGTAAGGTGGTTTCTGAAGGATATCTTAATGAAATATCTACAACATCGAGAATCAAGCTGGACATACTTTCAAGGCATCACCCATGTCTTCTTATTTTTAAACAGCTAGATTTAACCTTTCTAACCCTTTGGTTCTAAACACTTGCAAAAATGCATTTGGTCCTTCTTCTGGCACTGTCTGTCTATCTGGACTACTTATCTGTGTCGTTCGAGTGGTGTGTGTTGCTGTTGATAGCGCGAGAGAAGAAGATGTTACCGGGATAGTGAATATTGTCCTCCGGTGTTGTGTTAATGCCCTAATGTATGCGATAGAGTTTCTTAACAAGTTCACCATCAACTTCGCCTCAATAACCGGTGAGGCATACTGCACATCTGCGAGGATGACGTATGAGCTTCTAAGACGTAACCTGCTCTCTGCTGTTTTTTTGGAGACTATATCAACTCGTTTGTTAGCATGACTTATTTTTTTCTTCTCGGCAGTTTACGCAATTGTGGTGAGTCTTCAATAAACTTCCTTGTTATCCTTCATCCTCTCATTTCCACGAATTACGTGATAACCGAATACATATAATGCAGGTATGTGCTATCGTAAAGGGTGTTAGTGATCTAGGGGATAATACATATAATGCTTTATTAGAAGGGATAGCTCAAGTTCAACATTTCGATTGTAAATGGGTCTCAGTCACGTAATTTTTTCTTCTTGAAAATGTGTTTTTTTATTCTTTAAATTATCGGTTTTAACCTGGTAATTTGTTCATAAGTGATATTTATTTGTATGTTACGAAATATCCAAAAAAACATGAAAATACAGAAGGCACTATGGGTCTGGAGCTTGATTGTGGACAATATAACATCTTTATTGTGTGTATCATGGTCATTCTCTATATCTTGTTTGCCTATAATGTCTGCAAACTGGTAAGTATTTATTACAGAGTTTCGATTTATTCCTTTTATTTTTCTCCTCTATTTGTATGTCTCAACGTTCTTAATTATCATATTCGGATGTTAAATTGGATTAATCGTCACTGATATCTTTGCTTACGTTTATTTTGCCAGTAAATCCTAGTTTGTTTATTTAACGGCATTTGCTTTAGCTTATTCTGTGAACCTGGTGGCTAATTTTCTTGAATTCCTCGAAAATTCGATGTAATTTTTACTGGAGAAAAGCTAATTTAAAGTATTTCTGATTATAGTACATTTTATTCTTGTTTGAGTGAATTTTGATTTGTAAAATTGAAGGAATGATATTTACTTGCTGAGTGTGTGAAATTTGTCCTAGATTTGATTGAAATTATCTACATAAGAGGTTTAAATATAATATTTTATTCTTGTTTGAGTGAATTTTGATTCGTAGGATGATGATGGAGGAACTGTAAGTGATGACATTTAGAATCCAAGAGGCACAGGGTTTCAAGGGGTTGGTATGTTTTGGTTAAAAGTGCTTGTTTGATTGCTATGCAATTTCAATTGTACAAAATTTCATCCTTTGTTTTACTCAATTCTGTTATGATTTCCATTGATATACAGCTTCCGTAAGAATGTTCCTCCAAGGGAACAAGCCAAGTGGAAACGCAAGTAAGATCAACTTACATGATTTGTTTTCCTTTTACTAATATTAGCTTTAAAAAAACTGAGAAAGATAAAAAGTTGATGGTTTTTCCCACCTTGATTAGGAAATTGTTACACTTGCATTGACTTTTCTTACAAGTTCACAAGCAATACTTATTGTCTGGTCAAAGATAGCTGGGAAGTATGAGTATAATGTTACCACAGCGAACTTTATGGTGAGTAGAATAGTCATCTTGTGTTATGACTTGACATGGTGCCAATGGGATTAACCTTATACTGTTATTTCGGGAAACAGGTGGAGACTTTGAAATGTGCCTTGTCACTTGCAGCGTTGGCAAGAATATGGAAAAGTGAAGGTGTTACAGATGATAACAGGTAAATCTTACTTGCGATTGCTTATGTCTAATTTTTTCTATTAACATGGAGATGATGAACATACATTTTTCCTTTATTATTGAACCAGGTTGAGTACAACCCTCGATGAGCTGTCATATTTCCATCTTTATATCTTTCTGTTTGTTAGGAATGTAGTTTTGAAGCCTTTTTCTGGGTGCTATTGATTTAAAATATGTTTGGTCTGATAAGCTGTTAGAAGTTATCATGAAATTCAAGCTTGGATGTTTCTGCACAATTATTAAAATCTATCTCTATATTTTGCTTATCATCATGATGGTTGCCCATGCCATAGAGTTGTTGACTGCTGGGACTGACTATGCAGAAATGTGTTGTTAACTTTTTTAACGTAAGATATAATGGATTTTCATATAAACTGATGATTTATTTGGATATGAAACTAGAGATCGGGTTTGCATTGACATGGATGGGGCCTTTTCAAGTGGTATGCCAATTGGAGTAAGACCTCATGAAGCAAAATATCTGTGCAAGAAATGACAGGACGATACTAGCTCTGTATCATTGTTTTCCCATATAAACTGGATTTATCTCTTTGAATTTAAGCGCCTCATTGTGACAAAGAGTTTTGAAGAATGTGTAAGATTAGAAGCAAAATATCTTAGATATTATTGTTTATTATAGTTAATAATGTTGAGCTACATTATATTTTACGTTAATGTAAACTTTGATTTATTATTATGGATTTCATTTTTCTTGTTATGGATGTCAAGTTTATTGGAAAATGCTACAGGTTAAATTTGGGTAATAAAAGAGTAGAAAACAATATTTGACAAATTAGTTTTAATTTGCAAAATCAATTTCTTTTAGCTATAGAGAGGTAATTAGCGGCGTTTGTATCTTAAAACGCCGCTATATACCAGATCTTTTGCGGTGTTTGTGGGAAAAACGCCGCTAAATCTCAAGACCTATTGCGGCATTTGTGGAAAAAACGCCGCTAAATCTCAACACCTATTGCGGCGTTTGTGGGAAAAATGCCGCTAAATCTCAACACCTATTGCGGCGTTTTTGGGAAAAATGCCGCTAAATCTCAACACCTATTGCGGCATTTGTGGGAAAAACGCCACTAAATATCAACACCTATTGCGGTGTTTGTTGGACAAACGCCGCTAAATATCAACACCTATTGCGGCGTTTGTAACCCCGCTATATATCGTTACCTATTACGGCATTTTTTGTTACCAAACGCCGCGAACTTTAGCGACGCTATTTTCAGCGGCGCTTTTTGCGGCGTTTGTCATAGCGCCGCAGGTGTTTTTTGCGGCGCTTAAAAACGCCGCTATAGGTATAAAAAAAGCCGCAAATGTACAGTTTTGTTGTAGTGGTTGGCCTCAGTTTTACTAGAGCTTTTAAAAACACTTCTCAACACTAATTTGGTAAATTCCTCTAAGGAGATCTGAAAGTTTCACTAGCATAGCGGACATCTCCGAGTTCCTCTTCGATGCGAAGAAGCTACAAGAAGAGTAGCAAAAAGTGAGATCATTCATTCAAAACTAGTTAACAATCATGCAAACTATGCTCCTCAAATTCGGGTATGTTTATACATCTGAAATAAGTATGTTCAACTTTTTAAAGTTATTCTATCGTATTTGAAAGGTCTTATGTTCATCTCCATATCAAACAAAGGTATTTTGTTTAACAGTGTCATGATTGATCAACTATCATCAATTCATATCAACTATAAGATTCATCGTATTCTCACCCAAGCGAACTCAGCTTATTTTGTTTCAACATTGTGATAATGACGTTTCTTCTTTTTTATGTTCAAATCTAGTGGTTTTTAGCCTAAGACATGGGAAAAGTCGTAGGTCTGAATCCGTTTTCTTCTATGGTCACGCTCAATTATACCAAAAAGAAAATATATCAACAATAACCCTTGAAATCATTCAATTTTCAGATCCATATCAGAAACATCATGCCATTGGTATAAGAGCTGTGTAATTGGACTCAGTTGTATTGAATATGGGGGGCTAACACAAGTTTATTGGTGCACTTCAGGGGTATTGGAAGATCATATCCTATACGCAAATACGTGTCCGATGGGGTGTCTGACATGGATACTTGAAGAAAAATGAAAAGCCTGAGGAACAGGAAGAACTGAGGAGAAGAAAGGCCCAAATATTACCTGGTTGTATCTGGCCAGCCTCTCAATCCTGAAAGGAGCTCCAGTCTTGATCTACAAATAAAAGCACCATCACTCACCTTCTAGCACTGGAAAAAAATAACAAAAATGCATTGTAGATAAATTGCAATCACAGATTAGTGACATCGAATTATGTACCTGGCAGCTAGTCAAACCAATAGAAAGTCAGTGATGAAGTCTTCAGTTTCACCACTTCTGACCATCACTCCCAGCCCTGCAGCTTTAGATCTTACCTTTTCTATGGGGTTTGGAGAGTAGAAAGAAGGAAAAGAGGAAGGAAAAGAGAAAGAGAAAAGAAAATGGATACGATAAGAAGATGAAGAGATATTAAATACTCCATCTTTTCAAAATGGGAAAATCACACTATAGGTCCTTCCTCAAGTTTTTGAAATTCAAAATCTCCTTTTGAAGACTAATTGGGCTCAATTCCTACTCAATTAAGCCAAACAACTTAAAATATAAATTCTACAGGGTCCACTTATCTCTCGGGTAAACCCGAAACTACTAGCCCAAAATTTGGTGTGTTAAAACTCTCCCCTTCTTAAAATAAATTTCGTCCTTGAAATTTACTATGATTGAAAACAACTTACTTTTTGGTCAAACACTAAGGATCTTATCCGATCTGATCCTCGAAGGAGACCTCGCAACCTAACATGTTGTTTGGGACTTGCAAAAATGAGTCCATAATTTCTGAGGGCGCTACTGGCGCTGAACTTTAAGTGAAAACATTAGAGAAGCATGAAGCTAAGGAAATCACATTCTGGTTGTTTGATACTATACGCTTGGAGCATTTCATGAGGATCATGTTACTCCAAAAATCACTGCTATCATTGAATCCTTCTCTGAATAACCTTACTCAATTGAGTAAATTATTTGAATAATAACCTATTTTACCTGCCAAACATAGGTAACTCATCATGACATACCTTAAAATCTTATGCCACTTGTCAACACTATCACGATACCGACTACTAAATACATGTTGATAATTCTTGACTAACGTCGATCTATAAGCTTTTGTTATATAACTTTGATTTATATTCATCCATGGAACCTGACTGTTTCTCATAGCCATGCGACTTACGTGCATTCTACTCGCCTAATCAAGTATCCAAGGCACTGACAACTAGAAATCGACCATTGATTGAGCGAAATTAACATATGGCCCTCCCAAAGAGTACGCCTCACAAAGCGAAGATCTATCGCAACCATATCCTGACTAAAGATTTTGATACTCTACATCTGACATTCACTATTGCTGACCACTACTAATCCATTCGATGACAGCTAATATTAGTCAAATGTAGCTTAACGCACTTGATCTCCATAAGTCTGAAGCGCTCAAATTCTCGATACTACACAACGTTGACTACTAATATGTGTTGTATATAGCTCGCGCTCATGTATCATCATGAAGACGCCGCTGATGAGGCTTTGCTCACTTATCTGGTTCACCTACTATTTATGCAACAAGATGTCTAGTGTCGCTTGAGGGTTCACTGTACCTCGAGGCTCACAACTCACTATAACACTGATAGAATATGGGGTGAAATTCCAAAACTGTTGCATCGAAGCATACACCAAACTAACATACTCTTTGTGAGTACATGGGGCATGTATGCCCAGTTAGCAACTGATATTCCTTGGTATTTGCTGAGACATATTCTGAGATTTCTGACAATAAGGTGATCTCTATTCTAACAAGGGTAACCTAAGTACTCTCAACACTCTCATGAAGATCTCTACCTCCACGACTGAACTTGGGATTTCTAATTCTCTGTGGATCGATCGCACAAACACTTTACTGATAAAGCGAAGACATACTTATAGTCTCGTATCTGGAGGATCCATAAGAAAAGATACTCCCCTATGGAACACACAAGGGTGAAAGATTCTACAGTTAAACTTTTCTTAGAGTTGAATTTCAACTCAACAAGGGACAACCATCAGTCCTCCTTACTCTGAATCTCCAATTCTGAGGTCAAGCAACACTTGTGCCAATAACTCCTTTTAGGTCAACTATTGGGTGTGATCTAAGCCCTCAACGACTTTCTAAGGAAACCTTATCTAATCCACTAAGGTTTACTTACTAGCCACTTAGATCCTCACCTTTAAATTCTCCATCAGACATCTCTTCTGTGACATCAACGTCTTGAATTTATCTCTCTTAAATCTGCCAAGCTAAAATGAACCTTGGTCGATCCACTCTACTACTCTCATGTTTGAACATAGAGCTGACACCTCCTAGAGAAGGTTCTCAATCATTATAAACTACTGACCCTCGATCGAGCTGAAACACTGCTACTAAAACTAAGGAAACCTTTAGTATAAGCGCTAAGGTTTAACATCCATAACACTTCCTTAAAACTTAAAAGCACCTTCTTCATTGATTTTTACCACAACCCTTGCACTCTAAATAATACAAAACTCTAGTAGAGCTTCTAGAGCTCGCCACTGATGGTGGAGCTGATAAGTCCCTCAATTCCCTTCCCTCTTTTAAAAAGCCATGCATGAGTCCCTAGGCACCAAAGTACACTTCAGCACAGCATTCCATCATCAAACAAATGGTCAGTCAAAGTGAGTTATCCAGATTCTTGTGGACATGCTTTAGTGTACCATTATCGATCTAAGGGGTAGTTGGGAAAACCACTTGTTGTTAGTGGAGTTTTCTTATAATAACAGTTTTTCAGTCGAGCATTCAAGGGGCTCCGTATAAGGCCTTGTATGGGCGTAAGTGTAGGACTCTGCTTTGTTGAATAGAGCTCAGTTAGGGTAAGATATATGGCTCATATTTGATCAAAGAGACGAGATGAAAGTTTGGTTGATTCAGAACCGATTGAAAGAAAGCTTCAGACAGACAGATGTCTTACGCAGATTTAAAGCGTAAAGATTTTGAATTCGTATTTGGGGACAAAGTGTTTCTCAAGGATTTCCCTTGGAAGAAGGTATTGTACTTTGGACGCTAAGGAAAGTTGACTTTGCACTTTATAAGACCTTATGAGGTACTTGAGAGAGTCAGGCTAGTGGATTATAGGCTAGCCTTACCACCAGAGTTGGAGCGCATTCACAATGTGTTCCATGTATCTATGCTCAGGAGATAAAATTTCGATCCTTCTCCCCTATAGCAGATTGAGGTCAGCTCAGACATGACCTATACAGAAGAACTAGTTAGAATCCTAGTAAAGAATGTGAGAGAATTAATGAACAAGAGGCTTCCTTTAGTAAAGGTGTTGTGGAGGAACCATGGCGTCGGGGAATCAACATGGGAAATCGAGGAGGACATGCAGCTTCAATATCCTCGTCTCTTTTATATAGGTAAATTTCGAGGACAAAATTTTTTTCAGGAAGGGAGAGTTTTAACGCCCCGAATCTCAGGTTAGGAATTTTGGGCCTTGATTTAATTTTTTGGTTTATAGGAAGCTTTGACTCAAGTTGAGATGGTTTTGGGCTTTGATTAAGCTCAGTAGAGAATATAAAGGGTAATTTCAATTTACAGTCAAAATTAGAGGGACCAAGGAAGTAATTGTACCTTTTGGAAATTCAAAAGATGAAAATCTTTAATTGTATGGTGAGATCACTTCTGAAGCCTTTTCTTTTTCTCAACTTTTTCTTGTCTTCTTCTTTTGAGAACTCTTCTTCTTCTCCTTTAGCTTCCTAAGTAAAAGGTGGGAACTTTATTTCCTTCCAAGCTTTTTCCAACAACATCAAGGTAAGAAATGAATTCATTATTTCCCAAGCTTTAATTCAAGCTCTCTTTTGTAAAGTACCACAAATTAGTTTTATAAGTGTTTAAGGAAACCTGATTTTTAATTCGTTTTCAGGAAGTTTAGGCCTTAGGAAGTATTTTGAAACCTTTCTTAGCCCTAAAATTAGTTAGTAATCTAAGCAATTGTTTTTGTTTGGTGAAAGAAGTTGGACAAACCTCCAAAGCAAGGGGAAAGGAGAAGCTCACTCTTGGTTGATTTCTTAAGAGCTTCCAGCAGTTTAAATCATCAGGTAACTCATTTCTAACTTCTCTATACCACATGTAGCTCATCTAAGTGAGATTTGGTAGGTTGCATAAACTTGAAGCATGTTCATGATAGATTGTATCGTTTGGGTGTTTTCAGCATATTATATACTCTTTATGACCTTTAATATCAAATAAAACACTTAAACATCAGTTAGGGACCTCAATGGGACCTTTGGTATAGAAAGATTGGATTTTTCGTGCAAAATTAGGGCACCCAGTAGCGAAGGTATCGAAATTGTAAAAATAGTTTCGATAAACAGTATCGATATTGTTTTTCATTTAGGCAAAAATTAGGCAATATCAAAAGGGTAGTATCAATACTCATTCATAAAGTATCGATACCAAGGCAAGAGTATCTGTTGGGATTTTAATATGCTCGAATCAACAACCAGAATTGCTAGCAAAGAGGGGTCATAACGATTTTTGTGTTCAGGGAGTAAGGAGATTGAAAGATAGAGATTTGCACAGCGATTTATAGTGGTTCGACTTATCAACCAAGTCTACATCCACTACCTTAGCTCCTCACCAAGGATTTTCCAACAAATTCACTAATTTGTTCTTTCTTTTGAGGACAAAGAGATAACCTTACAACTCTCTAGTTTTTTCGGGCTAAACTATAGAACCTTTCCCTAGATTTTACACGGGATAAGCTAGAACCTTTCCCCTTTACAAAAGGATAAAAGATGTAAACAAGAAAACCTCTCTAAGGTAGGTGTTTACAAGATTGAGCTCACAATAAAAAATATTTACAAGAGAAAGATGAAATAAGAATGAAGAACTCTTCTCTTATGTTTGATTGCTTGGATAGTTGTTCTCTTACTTCTTCAAGTGTCCTTAGCTTGTATTTATAGCTTGGAATGTGTTTGAAGTCATATATAGCCGTTGGGGATGTTTTGGAGCTGTTTGGGGATGAGAATCAATTAATAAAATAGCTTGGAGCGTGGGGGGAATCGGTACCCCCTCATAGGGAATCGTTCCTGCAGTGTAAAATTCAAATATTTCGACCGTTACACTGGGGGGGAATCGGTACCCCCTGGGGGGGAATCGGTACCCTTTGGACATTTTGTTTTCTCTCGGAACCAAAAACCTAGGGGGGAATCGGTACCCCCTGGGAGGGAATCTGTTCCCTCTGGGCAATCTGGTTTTTCTTGAAGCCTTTTAAAAAA